GTGTTTCAGCGCATACCCGCAGCATGCATTATTTTATGAAACATTATAAAGTTACTACTCACTAAAATACATAAATAACCATACTACCAGACAGGCGGGCGCTTTGACGCTTTTTTGTCAATAGCTTGGGCCTTGTTTTCGTTATAAGCGGTTCGTAGGTTAGGCCGTGTACGTGCACACGCCGTGCGCACTTGTACGTGCACACGCACGCACTTCGTACGTGCACACGCACGCAACTTGACGTGCACAACCACACGCAACGGTGTCGTACACACGCACGCACGCAGCCCGTGTACGTAACGCAAGCACGCACGTGTACGTGCAGCACGCACCACGTGTACGTGCACACACACGCACGCATGCGTACGTGTGCTGCTGTTCATCGAGTGGTTGAACACAATCATAACCAAGCCGAAAATGAGGACAACTTCGACATCGCCCCAGCACTCATGTAGAACAGCTAAGCAATATGGTTTACAATACAAAGAGCGTCAGTTTGGTTGCTATGGTATCAGTGTCCGCACAGTGTGGATTGGTTTATGCTATGGCACGCCCTCACAGCCCAGCACTTAACAATGACGTAGTGGATTACACTGGAATTCATCACACAATTTGCGTTACGCAGGTGCTACGCGGCGTGTGAATCGCACCTACGGCTTTGGCGTAGCTTACTTCGTAAGAATCTTGTTGTACGCAATACACTTTGCGCTAACGTTGATGATCCCCAGGGGCTCCGCCTATTGCCCTGGTGGGTCCAGCGGCCGAGCCACTGGCAGGGGTCGCGGAAGCTTAGAGTTTAGCTAATCACAGCCCTAAAATTGCTGCAAAACCAAATTGTGCAGGGAACAAAGAGCAACATCAACCAAGGAATGAAACCCGTGGGAGGACTGCACCCACAATACTGGTAGGTATCGTGGTATGTGCCACTGGCGAAGTTAAAAATGGAGGGGGGGCTCTGGCAACGAACTCGCACCTGAAATGGTTGGTGCTCTGGAACTAATGTTTGTTGCAATTTGTATGCTCTGGAACCGGCTGTTCGAAAATGGGGGTCTCCGGAACTTAGCTTAGGGTTTCGTTGAAATTCAATCATGAAACTCGGACAGCGTTTAAAAGAGGGGTCTCCGGAACTGTGAGGGGAACAGTGATTTGCTTTAACATTATGTGTAGCACGTTGAACCAATATTCTTGTATTCTGTAGAGAGAATAACCATGACCGGAGAGAGATGAACGCACGCACACGCACGCACGCCATACACGACACTCACAAAGACTAGACAGAGGGGCACTCACGGAGAGAGCATAAGCCTCCGCCAGCGACTATAGCCGATACGCGCATACGACTCACGAACACAGAATAACACGATATATGCCAGCCGTACATGTATGCTCCGTCGCCTAGTCAGCAGGGGACAGCCGGCTGGCTGCTCGTCGCTGGACGCGACTAATATCAATCGCGTCACACCCCACAACACACACCACAACACACACTCACAACACCGACACAGGCACGCGCGGCGCTCGCGCGGCGCTAACGTGGGTTACACAACGCACAGACCCGATAACATAACCTCTCCCTCACCCGTGGGGGAGGTAAAAATAAGATAGCATGTAAGAGTATTATTAAGTGCAGTCTGACCATTGGTTAATTATAATTATAAGCTTGTTAAGCACCCTCAAGTGTGGCCTACCTTATCCGCGGGGACAGCATCCTCGACAAATGATGGTCCGCAACTTGGGGCTCCAAGGAAATAAACAAAAAAAAAAAAAAAAAAAGACAAAAATAAAACACTGATTCGATTATCAAATTCCAGGCAGGTTTGTTTAAATTGATTTGAAATTTCGACTTGATTTTCGATTTTTCGATGCAGTGGTCCAGCTTGAGGCTACATCACTCATTTTTGCGATCCCCTATTATTTGCAAAGAATCTTCTCTTCTTTAGCTTTTCTGCGATGATGGGGGGGGGTGACCGCCCCACCCACCCAATCATTTGCAAGACATTGGCAAGTTGTTTCTTTCTTTTTCTTTTCTTTTTCTTTTTCTTTTTTCTTTTTCTTTTTCTTTTTCTTCTTCTTCTTTCTTTTTTCTTGCAAATAATAGGGGGGGGCGACCGCCCCCCCCCTTGTGGCGCCGCCCCTGCCTTCTGCCATGTTCGTGCGTCTATCGTCTATGCGTCTGTCATGCGTCTATCATGTTCGTCTGTTCATCTTCGTTAACTATGTGGAATTATGGGATACTAACTCTGAGTTACTTAACTCAGGATTTAATCCATGTTTATGAAACCCAAATTTAACTCGGAGTTTACTAACTCAGAGTTAGTGAGTTTAACTCAAAGTTAGCTTTAACTCAGAGTTAAAGTTAATCCATGTCTGTGGAACTGGGTGACCGAAGGACCGAATATTAATTAAGAGTTAATATATAGAGATCAGTGGAGGAAAACCACAAGGTCCAGAAGATGCAAGACAATTCTCCATAAGATCTTATGCTTCAGAATTGAAATTCATGTGCAGAAAATAATCATTAAGACTATTTTTTCGAGTGCCACGGTTACCGAAGCACCGAAGTTAGCTCCGAGGCTAGTTTGCCAAAGTTAGATCGGCACGTGCTTCGATCAGCCGCATTCCAGGCGATTTTGACACATGTTGACTGGTGTTTTAAGGATTTATCGCAAATTTACTCACGGACATCACATTTGCGCCTGAAAAACTGCCGCACAGCCGAACACCTAGAGGGCATATACTTTGCATGGAAAAGTTTTAAATCGCCCGTAGGGATTCACCCATCTCTGTCTGCATGTCGGTACGAACCTCAGCCCACATGCAGGCACTTGGAAGGTTTCAATTATAAAAAGGTGGTAAATAAACACGAAAAAACATTACTATCAAAGTCTCAATGTTTATGTATTCTTTATCGACTAACAATTTCACGTAAATGCCGTTCAAATGTTCCTCTGCAACACACAATTTCACCGCCAGCACGCCACTGTACACAAATTCACAGCTAGAGGCCGAGTTCTGTTGTGTTTCTTTCTTTCTAGCTGTCTTTATCTCTCCTTCTTTCTCTGCCTTCCTGTGGGGTTGTGCAGTGGCGTACGTGCGGTGAAATTAATTGTGTGTTGCAGAGGAGCGACTGCATGAGCTGCATTTACATACCGGTACCGGTAACGTCATTGTTACAAATAATAGGCGAAAGAGAATAGATTAGACAGTGGTAGTAAATATATTTTGTGTTTATTTACCATGTTAACTATTGTAACGATCTGTGTGTAACTGTAACTGTAACTGTGTATAAGTCCAGACTAGCTGCAAGCCTACAACATCCAACTACACGTCGTATATGATTATCTAGCTCCTTGAGTGGAGGGGGTACGGGGGGGGGGACGGGAGAGGAGGGGCGGGAGACGGGAGAAAAGGGGGCGTGGAGCGGGAGGGGAAGGAACGGGAGTAGGGAGGCCAGTGGGCGGGAGGATTGAGAAAGAGAGAAAGAGAGCGAGAGAGAGTGTATACTTGGTAGAGAAAAGTAAACGAAATCCATAGCACGAAAAGTAAATACATGAGAAAATACATTGTACGGGACAAATACATTTATTACGCAAAGTGTCAGAGAAACTAAGTGACATTCAAAAAAGAAAATGCAAAATAGGATCCTGGAGGTGTTGAGGGAGGGCCATAGGAGGACAAGGGAGTGAGATGGGAGGAGAGGCGAGAGGAAGAAAACCCCCTGTACCCCCCCCCCCTCTGAGTGAGCTGCCTCAAAATATCGCGCCATACAAGCCTACGCGGGCCGCGGGCCCTTCGATTGGTCGACAGAAGACGGCGTCACATTATCGGCTAACCTCCGATACGGCGATAGGGTAATGAACCGGTAGCGATTTGTGGTAACCTGTCATTGGGTCATAGCTCGACTTGGAAGAGCGTTGCATCACATGGGGTCCTCATAATATATTCGTGCTCATCGGTCAGAATTTTTTACTTATCTGATTAGCTATGTTATAGTGGACGACCGCGATGAACCCGTGATACATGCTGGCGTGTGTAAACTATGAGTATGACGGATGACGCATGCATGGGAAGTGTGAAAGGCTAGCTGCATGTACATCAGTCACTGTCACAGTCAGTATTTTGTGCTCGCGCATTTCTATAGGGGCCTAGTGCACAGTATTATAGTGCTTCTTCAAAACTGAATTTCGAGCGTGTTGTTCTCGCAAGTAAGTACTACCACGCGATCATGAAATCACACACACACGCACGCACCCACCCACACACACACATATATATAAATTATTAGCAGGGTTCTATTATCTATAGCTACCGCTCGTCAAATCGCCCAAATGTGAATTAACTTTACTATGCACTCGGCTATGCGCACGGTGCCTAAAGTAAGGGGATGGTTGCAGCCGCGGCAGCGTCTAATGGCATGATCATCAAGACAGTCAGTTGAAGCTATAATGATTACTAGAAATGTGATTTTCCCACGCAAAGTACTCCATATGCTTTTGTTTGGGTTAGTGAGTGTATCATGGAAGTGCGTATGAATTAATGCTTGGAACATATTCCGGTAAGTTATAAATTATATATTGATTCAAATTCGCTATAACAGCACGAAGTATACAAACGAACCATACCATTTATCTATGTCGGGATAAAAATGATACAGATCATGTTAAACAGTAAATATGGTAAGGTCAACAATTTTACAAAATACATGTGAGTTTCTTGGCAACTCCAATACTCTTGGCAACTCCTATACTTGGGAACTCCTATACTCTGTCTCTCAGTGTCACATAAATATCCTCGTCGTAAAAATTAGGTCAATATATATGTGGCATGCATTTGCAAACCAAACTGTAGACTTGCATGTACCTGTAGAGAATGCATGTACTTGGCATGTACTTGACTGTTGACATATGTACTTGACATGTACTTGACATGTATACTTGAAATGAAATGTTGGAAGCAATTATATGTTTATAACTCCTGTACTATAGTGGCCTTTCTTTCAGATACTTTCGCTAGTTGTCAAGGAGACATATACACGAAGTGTGTTGGACAGCTGAGCGGGATGCATCGACAAAAATTATACCGAGATGAGTACGGGCATGGAACGACTGAGTCCGAGATCACAGAAACAACACCCTTTGTAAATCCCGGCTCGACAAGGTCCTCAGATGGCGTTAGTGCATATGTAAATAGGTAATTAAGTATTGTTGCTGCTTAGAAGTTTATATATAGATGTGCTTGTTTAATTTGTACGGGTGAACATGTAGATGTGCTGCTGATGTGCTGATGCTGAAGTAACCCTCCTTATTTTCTTATACTGCTTATGCTTCTACCTGTTACGAGAAATACAGACAAATACGTGGGTCCTGTTTGCTGATATTGTAATCTTGTCCTGCCTTGTATGCCATCGATAAATAAAAGAAAGGCACAAGTGTGTGCTGGTGATATGCCGAGTGGTGCCGAGTCATTCGATCCCCATGTACTGTATAAGCAAGCTAGCTCCTGTGTTCCTTGGTTAACTTTGGTCTGAAGAGTGTAGCTAGCTAATCACAGAGTCAGGTGTGCCTGGCTGTTAAGCTGCACCTCATATCACATACAGTTTTTAGCTCATCTGACATAGTCAGATGCAGCTTGTAGAATCGCATGATCGTCCGTCCGTCCGTCCGAGCGTCCGTCCGTCAACAGTTGGGCACAAATCTTAACCGCTCGACGTACGGTCACGATATTCGGGACGTGGGGGGGTAATCCGAAAACGAGTTGGGATGTCGAAGCTGGGGGTCAAAGGTCAAAGGTCAAGAGGTGTAAAAGAAGGGGGAACATTCACTCCTTAACTTAAGGTATAGGGAGGAAATGCACAAATCTAAACGGCTCGACCTAGGCTCGTGATAGTCGGTGTATAGCATCATGGTAGGAAAAACCATCACTGTGCCAAAATTGGAGGTCACAGGTCAAAGGTCAGTGGGCACAGGGCAGATTTTAGACATTTTCTGAGGACATGGTCTGACGGAGCGATTGAAAAACTTTTTTGTTTCAGCGGTGACCTAGCATTTTTATGGCTTTATTGAAAGGACCATGTAATGTCCCTTCTGCTGACATGCGAAGAGTAAGTGTCGGATAACCTTTTGACCCTCAAGAGGAGGGTTAAACTTGGATTTGTTGACTGTCTGTTAGAAAGAATTTGACTGCCGGGTTTGCTAGTAGAATCTATACATGCCTGGATGTATGAGGCTACAATGTCACAGTGAAATTTCAAAAGCTAAATTTGGTTAAAGAAGGTGTATGTTCCTTAAATCGTATAATTTCTATGTCATTCTGTACTGTCAGTATGTTACATGTAACGTATGCCACTGCCAGTGGCTGCTGCCAGTGCATGTGTTGGTGCAGTTTTTGCCTGCGATAATTGGCTACAGGTGGCAGCTCTCTATTGCAATTTGCAGCCTGTCGGCTTGCGTAGGTAAATGGATGAGTGCTTACCTATTATGTCTTGCAGATAGTTGTTGCTACTACGTATGATGGGAGCTTCCATCTTTAATCTGAAGACACTTAAACGTACGCGCCATCTCGTGGCAACTTTCATAACGATACCAACGAACATTCTTTTGAGAAGGTTCCTGATACCATCCCTGTGCATTCCACTGTTTCGGCATGTATGTGAACACATTTGGGACTAACAGGGTTTACTAGAATCCCACCACTCCACCACAGAGTCACCGCAGTAGACGTTAGATGAGCGCTGTCGCTCTGCGGCACTTGTTCTTGCTAACTACCAGAGAGCAGTGGCCTAATAGTAAGCACACGGTATGCCTCTTGGTTAAAGGAGGATATATAGTCTTGATCCTATTCTGTATTCTTGGCTTTGTAGTTGGGCACTGCTATTGTGCCCTTCAGCAAGTAATTTTACCCTGATTTGTTTTACTTGACACTACGGTTATACTGCTATTGAGACGGGTTTCAAGCACTGGGTCAGTACTAAAAATCTTGGTCCATAAAAGAATGCATGTGCTTAAAAAACCAAAGTATTGTACTGCCAATGAAGTCCTTATATGTCTTATATTTTCAACAGGGCACCAGATGGGGGAAAAACAGGACAAAAAAATGCTTGTTCTACTGTTACTTGGCTTCAGCCCAGGTCTATAAGCCATTTCGTAGTTACAGTCTGCGCATGCGCGAACTTTGCCACGAATTCTTCTGGGTCAGGTCATTTGTGACAAAATATTTCGTATTTCGACCGTACAGTATACATACGCATGCATCTGTGTCGTTGTAATGCTACAGTCTTCGCGTGTGCACGTATACGTGCGTGCGTGAGTGTGCACGTACACGTTCGTACGTGCGCTCGTGCGTGCGCTCGTGCGCGCGTGTACACGTGCGTGCGTGCGTGTGCTCGTGCGTGCGTGCGTGCGTGTGCACGCACACGTGCGTGCATTCGTGCGTGCGTGTGCACCTACACGTACACGTGCGTGCGTGTGCACGCACACGTGCGTGCGTGTGCACGCACACGTGCGTGCGTGCGTGCGTGTGCACGTACAGGTGCGTGCGTGTGTGTGCACGTACACATGAGTGCGTCCGTGCGTGTTCATGTGTGCGTGCGTGCGTGTGCACGTACACGTGCGTGCGTGCGTGTGCACGTTCACTTGCGTGCATGTGCACGTACATGTGCGTGCGTGTGTGTGCACGTACACATGCGTGCGTGTACACGTACACAGAATACATGTACATATACGTACTGAACCGAGAGTGCACGCCGCACTCGAGATTTAATCGATTTTTGTCACAAATGACCCGGTGACCTGTGACGTCCCACAACCCCTTGGCTAACTACGAACTGGCTTATTACTGTGGCGTTTGGCCTAGTTAATTGTCCATCAGGAAGGTGCTAATGTTGGAGTAGCTCCTATATATGGTGAATGCCTCAAGTAGCCTATAATATGGCGAATATGCCTATATATATTATATTCCTATATATAATTATGTGCCTATATTATGCGAATGCCTATATGGCAAATGCCACAATAGCTAAACCAATAGCTAAATTATGCTTCCCCACTTCGTGCATAGACCTGTCTAAATACACTCTAGGAACAATTAAACTGGCTTTACTAAATGCACCTTAGTGGCCCTGACTGATTCTTAGTGTCAGTCCATCTGTCTTCAACTCATTACTTGGCATTGTTAACCATATATTATCAATAATTTCTTACAGTCATTCAAACTACAAAACAGTAAAGAGAATAAGGCGACAACTCAGTGCCTCCGATGGCCTGCGCTCTGTTCTGGCATGGCGAGATCTGAATGTTTATGTAAAAGCCAATGAGAAAGACATTCTAGGAAGAACTGTAGGAAAGGCTACCAAGCAAATACTTTACAATGGTAAGAATGAACTCAGCCATGCGACTATAGGACCTGGCATTAGGCGGACATGCCCTAATCTGCCACAAATTTGAGGCTAGTTAAAAAGTTTGTTTAGGTAGCATTTTTCCATGCTTCAGCTTCAGCTAATACTGAACCATATCTTGTCGGGACGTAACGTTTTAAACAGCATTAATTGCTATGTTATGTACAGTTTTTAGCTCATCTGACATAGTCAGATGCAGCTTGTAGAATCGCTTGATCGTCCGTCCGTCCGTCCGTGCGAGCGTCCGTCCGTCCGTCCGTCCGTCCGTCCG